ACTCTGCCCTGGTGATGCCTCGTCTGGAATACTGTGTCTAGTTCTGGGGTCCCCAGTTCAAGAGAGACAGGGAACTACTAGAGAGAGTCTAGCAGAGGACAATGAAGGTGACTGGGGGATTGGAGGATCTCTCATGAGCAAAGGCTGAGAGAGCTGGGACTCTTTAGCCAGGATAAGAGAAGGTTGAGGGCAGATCTTATAGATACCTATAGGTATCTAAAGGGTGGGTGCAAGGAGGATGGAGTCAGACTCTTTTCTGTAGTTCCCAGTGACAGGATGAGGGTCGATAGATGTGAGCTGGAACATAGGAATTTCCATTTAAATATGAGGAAAAACTTCTTTACAGTGAGGGTGACAGAGCACTGGAACGGGCTGCCCAGGGAGGTTCTGGAGTCCCCTTCTCTAGAGATATCCTAAACCTGCCTGGATACAGTCCTGAGTAATGTGCTCTAGGCCATCCTGCTTTGGTGGGGGAGCCGGACTAGATGATGTCTAGAGGGCCCTTCCAGCTCTTACAATTCTGTGATTCAGTGAACTAATCCATTTTTATCTCACTGGAGTTATTGAACACATATTATATATGCTATGTTATGCAGGCTTGCAGGGCAGTTCTCATCTAAGGTGTTTTTAATTACAGAATCCTAGAAGAAATATTTTAACATTGCATTCTGGATGCTTTCTGTATATACAGTAGATAATGGGTTTAGTCCTACTTTGTTATCTAGAGATTCTGAGTTTTTTTCAGGGAGCTTTACCACAGATATCTTGATGAGCTGCTTGCAAGACTGGATTGTACAGAGGTAGCCATTTTACCTTGTTTTGTGTAGTGAATTCTACTTCGAATACCTGTGTACACCTAACAAAGAATATCAGTGTTCTCTTTACTGGGGCTGAATTTTCAGAACTGCTGAGGAGCCCAGATGTGGTTCTTTGTCCCTTTCAGATAAAATATGCTTTGGTTATAAAACTGCTGTCAGGATGAAATCTTGGCTCCACTGGTGTCTATGGCAAATTCCTAATTTTTTTAAATGGAATTAAGATTTTTTTTTTTCCACACTCTTCATTAAAGAGGATGCCTTATCTTTGTAAGTTTCATAAGTCTTTTTGTTCTATATGTTTTCAGACCTGCTGATATTGTGTGTCTTGAGTGAAAGAAGATGCTTTGTCAGTATAAAATACAGAGCTGTTTCCTGTTGGCTTTATCTTTCTTCATCAGTGATGCCCAGAGCCAAGGTAAGTTACAAATAAGAAGGTGGAGCTTTTTGCTCTGATGTGCAGAAATATTTTCTTATTCCAAATGCAAGTGTAACTTCTCTCTTGGTATGCTGTGGATTCAGTATTACTGAAATGGAGCAGAAGTTTTGCTGCTGATCTTAGGTAGGGCAGTGAGTGTGTGTGTGTTTCTGTGTGTAGAATTACTTGTTCATGTGTGCTTCTCGAACCGAGTATCTCAAATAGCCTAAGTCTTCTCATATTCAGGTGTCTCAAAATCAGTTATATGAAACAATATTTTTTTTTTACTCTTATTTACATGAAAGTACTAATCAGAGATTACTGTGACTATTCTCTGTGTAATCATATAAATTTGAAGGACCAGCTATGATACTAAGCTTGTATGGAATATATATTTTCTTTTTCTTTGTTGGAGCAGTAGCTATTGTAGCACTTACTTCATACAGTATTCACAGAACTGTTAAATGTCATAGACTACTTCTGCAGTGTTGGTTGTTTGGTTTGTTTTTTTTAAAATCTCCTTTGTGGATATTAAAAGATACTGCTGAGATTGTTAGGCTTAAATGCTTGTTGAATTGTATTGACAGTGGTTTGACTTCTAGACAAAATTTATCCTGTTGTTCGGGGAAGAAAAGAGGAAAAATGCCAATGGATTTTTCTGATTTGTAAAGAAAGATGTTTCTCTCAACTTCATGTATATGTAATCCCTTTGATATGAGGCTGCATAGTTGGGAGCAGAATTTGATGCTGGGGCTCTTGTTATAATACATGATTCATGAGCACGTTCAGAGATTAGTGGCAACCTGAGGCTTTCCAAGTTCTGGTAAATGCCTGTAGCAATGCCGTCCAGTCTGCGTGGTGCTCAAGTGCTGGGGAAGCTTACCATCTTGGATGCTTGGGAATCTGCAAGTGTTTATAAACCTCTCCCAGAACTTAGGGACACATGTAAGCAGTAATATTTGATGTGGGCGATGTGAGGTGAATGAAGAAATACATGTTCTCAATGTCCAACACATCAATTCTGGTCAGAAATGAGGTCCAGAATGTTTGTGACTTAATGAGCCAATAAAGCAAAGCATATGGTTAGTCCTCTCTCTGTGTGTTTCAGTCCTGATACATATGGTTAAGATTTGCAAAATGAGATTGGGGATTGAAGTCCTTATCCAGAAAGTTTTGAAAAATTCCTTGAGCTTGGAAACTGTACTTTTCCACCCATTCTTTAAAACAAAACAAAAAAACTCCACCACACTTTGATTTACTTGGTCACATGTAAGGGAGAAAACTCAAACTATTAATACAAGGAAATGAAGGTCAGAGAAAGTTTTTTCCACAATCATCACACCAGCAGAAGCTAGGGTTGGTGTATTTAATGAATAAAGAACAATACTGCCCTTGTTCTTACACTGTTTCAGTAAGCATCAGCTGCTGGATGCTGTCAGCAGTGTGATACTAAGCTGAGTGGACTATTGCCTTGGCCCAAAATTACTGTTACGTTATTGAATGAGGTGATATGAAGTCTCTATTCCATACTCACAGAATAAAAATCTCTTGCTACATATGAAGTAATAAGATGTTTCTCAAGTCATTTCTTTTTTCAAGGTTGCCACCTTTTGCAGTAAGCTCTTCATGCAGCTGGCTAACTATTTACAATTTATTACAATATTGACAGTATGTTTGTTTTAAGGAATTTGATACTCTGCCAAGGTGTAGGAGGAGCTGGTATTAGTTCCAGCTTGTGCTTCCTTCCTTTGGCAAAGATGCTCAGGTAAAGGTGTGTAATGTGATTTCTTGGAAAGGAGAATGTGTTCGGAAGACTGAAGTCAACATGCCTCAAGCTACAACTTAACTCCTTCAGCTGAGGAGTTACCTGCCTTGAGCCATGTGGTTTTATCTCATTTATTTCTTGAACAGCTTATAAACCACATAGCACAGTTCAGTTTTTGCTCAACACCAACTATTCTTTCATTGCTGCCGTTTCTTCCCCATTCAGCATAATGTCACTTAAAGAACAGCAACGAAAAGACCCAGTTTTTGTGTGTTCTTATGTAGTATAAAAATAATTCTGGGCAAGAAAAATACTTTAGAATGTTCCATTTATTCGTAAAGTAACTTCAGTAGTTTTCTTTCTATATTTGAAGATGGAAAGTTCTGTGTGTGTAGCCACAATTTCCATGTGATTGCTTAGTAATTATATATGTATTAACTTGTTCAGTTCTTGTGACAAAACTAAACTGGAAGCCACAAGATTTAGTTCATATTGACTGTTAGCTGCACATCTGCAATTTATGGTATTTTCCCTTCTGTTAAGATACTGAATAGTTCAAAACACTCCCAAAGACTTGTGTATTTGGAGTGCTAATTTATCTGGTGACATAAGCCACAGCCTTGAACTTGTCTGCAGTTTTCTTTTGGGTGACTGCTCTAATGTTGCTGACGGCCATTCACTTTTACATTCCTGTAAAACCACTTAAAAATCAGTAGCTAGAGCTTGTTATCAGTTAACTGACTCAGCTTGGATTAATTTTTTTCCCTTTCTGCAAGAAGTGAGATTTTGTTCCACAGACAATAAAGGTCCAAAGAAATAAAGATAATCCTCTTCAGGTTGGTGAATGTGTAGTAATTCCCATCAATATTTTGTTGTCTGTTCAAGTTAGATTTTTAACTTTCTTAGCTATATGTACTTTTCTATGCCAGAACGTTAGTCTTTGCACAACTAAGACACAGTTGAATATCTGTCTGGTGAATAATTCTTTTCTTCCTTCTGGTTAACTGCTGTGTGGGAATGTCCATTCCCCTGCACTGCCACCTTTGATGGAAAAAGGACCCAGTGAAAACTGACTAGTTATGTAAAGACTATTCTGGCACAACTTTTCTAGTCTTTTACATTATAACTCTGTAGTAAACAGAAAAAACTTTTGGTGATTGTCCTTCTTTGCTTGTAAGATCTGTGGTTGTTTTTTAGGGGCTCACAGAATGTACCTGGTTTGGTGATGGCTAATAGCAAATAGGCCAGAAATATGCTTCTTTGTTAGAAGGTGCTTTCATAAACTGTAAAGTTGAAAATAGGACAGAATGGAATGGCAGGGGAAGGAAGAAGATGGCAGAGAAAATGAACTCTGAATTATTTTTGTTGGTCTTCCTTGACTTTATTGCTCCCTGCTCTGCCTCTTAATCCCCATACATATTTACCACTTAATCCTGGTAAAATGTACAGCATTTTTACACTTGCATACTGTTGTTGTTTAAAAGTTTCACTATTCCTTAGATGAAATAAATTTAAAAAGGTATTACATATTTTGCAAACTTCCAGGTATGATTTGTCTCTCTTGGTTCATTCAGCCCCAATTCACTGTGATTTATGTACACCTCAAAGACAGAATGCATCTTGAGAATGAATTAAAAGCTGTAATCCATAACTACAGTCTGCTTGGCTTTTAAAGCTTTTTGCCACAGTCTGTGTCATGTTGTCACGACAATTACAGCATGCTGAATGTTCCTGCAGAAACCTGCCCAGCAAAACATTTTACAATATGAGGGCCAAATTTTCAAAGAACCAATTTTGTATTTGCAGTGATTCCTGTACACACTCTTGCTTGCAACCTCTCTTCCTCTAAACTTCAGAGAGGTGACAGCAGTCTGAAGGTGAGGTCTGACAAGATTGTGCCTAGCAACTGGGGAAACCTACTCTTTTGGTGGAAGCCTCGTGCTGTGAATCAGACCAACTCCAAGTGTGTGGAATTGGTGTGCTACTTGCTGTTTCTGTCCCCTTTCTTCTCTTCTTGAGCTTACTCTCTGAAGTCTGAGAGTGTGGAGGTGTTACTAAGCTGCTCTTAGCACTGACTTACTCTTTTCTGTGTTCTGATGCTAAGTTCTGCAAGGCAGAGAAGTGCAAAACCTGACTTTACTCTGGCAAAAGTGCCCTGTGCAGACTGAGAGGCTGGATATGATGGAATATATCTATGTATTAAACCTCTAGATTCTTACTTTGAAGACTCAAGTATTTTTAATGTTAGATGGCATTAAACACTACCCCAAATCTTGAACAACTACAGCCTGCCTCTTTTTCTTTCCCCTCAAGTCTTGGAAAAAGCAGCATGTAGGAAAAAGTAATCAGGTCAGGACAGGTCTTTGGCTGCTGCTGGTGCCAGAGCTGCATTGACTGTAACAGGTCAAATGGAGAGGCCAGAGACTCTTGGACAGCACATTTTGCCTGTTGACTCACATGCTCCATAAGCTGTAGTCCCTATATCTCAGAAATATAATGAGGACTATTGGCTCCATATATCTAGTGGGCCTATGGGCATGAGAATAGTCAATTAAGAGCTGTCTTAGGCCCTGGAGCAATGAAATTGCCACTTATCCCCTTCAGATAGTTTCCCTAGTTTCTTGGATTTATCAACAGAAATCTTAAGGGTGGTAGTGGCAGAGGCACTGAGGGTTTGGAAAGAGAAGGGATGAGGTTGATGGAGATGTTTAGTAAGCTTTTCTAGTGTTTTCTGTTGCTCAGCCTCTGGCTAGCTTCCGTGGATGCCTTTTCCTCTAGATCAGTTTGTTCTCTGGGAGCCAAACCCTATTCGAATGTCTAAAGAGTTCCCCTTGTTGCCAGCCTTGGACACCACAGGCTGTGCACCTAGCAGCTCTGCTTCAGCTTTTTGCTGTGAAGGAGAGATGTGGTTCCCTGGAAGTAAGCAGAAGTGCTATCTAGGGTGTTGTCCAACATCCATGGAACTTGCCTGAGGAAAGAGATGCAAAGTTATGGAAGATTAATTAACGTTAATTAAGCACAACGTTGCTGATATTGCAGTAACAACTTGGGGTGGATTTTCCATTTGTCTGTGTATTGCTTCACTGAAGCTTCACCTCTTTCTCAATCATTTCCTGCTTTTATTCCTTTCATTCCTTTTACCTGCTGCTTCTCTTTGAAACTGAGGTGATGGCACAATATACATAGAAGACAGATTTGCTTACCACCTCCAGATTGCCCGTCTAAATCTTGACTAGCCTTTGCATGCCTACCACTCTTGATGAGACTGAAGCAGCACTTGCAGCTGGGCAAGTGTGTTTGCTGCAAGGCCAGGTTTGCAAATTGAGCAGCCAATATTCCTTCTGCCTTGTACATGTCTGTTTTTCCTCTTGGCTACTGTATCTTTACAAGGCTTTGAAAATTTGGCCCTGAGTGACCTTAAATGTGGGGAAGTATCCACAGCAATGCAAGGGAGAGAAGGCTAGTTAATGCATCTTGTCAGCATAAGCAAGGAGAGCAATTTTAGTTCCCATATATTAACAAAGAGCATTTTTATTGCCAGCTTTGCCTGCTAAACTAGAGTCTTAACATCTAACACTGTTTGTCTTTGTCTTACACTGTTAGGTTGTTAGTTTGTTTTCATAAAGAGATAAATAAAAGGTATGTCTGAGGGAAGTAGTGCACCTGGGGATGTTGTTTTACAAACTAATAAACTGATGTATGTGACATTTTTAATAACTTGCATCCTTTATCGTTAAAATTTTGTGTTGTCTTCCTCTCTGTGGTTTTGTTTGTTTAAAATTTGTGGTTGCTTTTTATTTGAATTTAAAATGTTGTTTTCTTTCCCCACTTGCAGTGTCCCCACCAACAAGGCTAAGATATAATGTAGTCAGTCCTGACAGTGTACAGATCTCTTGGAAAGCCCCAAAAGGGCAGTTCACTGGATATAAGCTTCTTGTCACTCCAAGTTCAGGTAAAACAAAAGTCTGTATGTTGCTTTTTAAGATGAAAGGACTGTCATCCTAAGGCTGAACAGCTTTTCCAAGGCTAGTGCCATCCTTCAGGATAAGAGAACAGTGAGCAAGCTGTGGATAACAGACTATTGGCAGGTCAACAGAAGAGAGAAATCGATCTCACCAGAGGGTGATCATAAGTATTCAATTCCCATATTCTATGCCTAGGGTAGAAGTGGGTGGTTGCTAGTTACTTTTCATCCGTAGTCCTCAGAAATTCTCACTGATCATTTGTCTTTACC